AAGGCAGTATTGGGGTGAGCCTTCAGAAGCTTGACGATGGGGTCGATATATTCGCTCTTGTATCTGCTGAGCTCACCAACCTTTAGCTCACCGTTGGATGCCTTAGCAGCACAATCACGGCCTGGGAGATCATAGATGACGAGACCCAGGATGTTGGTGCATGGCACATCGGCGACGGCAGGTTCGATCTTTGCAATGTTCGCAATGGTATCGCTAGCAGGCGTGTAAGTAACAACAAATTGAGCTAGGGGCAATGTAAGACGACTCACATCCATAAGAAAGAACCGACATCAGCAACCTTTTTGGCAGCATCAGCCAAACTGGAGTCGGACAACTGCTCGACAGCGGCGTTGACCTCATCCCGGTAGAACTTGTTGGGATGAAGAGTGTACTTCTTGAAGACGTTGGTGCTGGCGTCAAGAGTAACAGCAGAAGAACAGGCAGACCCGGCTTGTCGGGGTACCTCCTGACCGGTCTCAGTTGGTGCTGCGAGGGCTGTGGCGACCAGAGTCGCCACAGCACTAGTCAAGTACTTCATCTTGCCTCAGATCTATCCCTCTATATAGAGAACAGATCTTGACTGAACGAGCAGCATCAGGATTGAGAAGAGGTGGGAGGACGTCAATTTATATCAGCCAAGAGGCGATAAAGCAGGGACATCTGCTTACATGGCGGGACATCTCATACTCGAGTCCCTCGAGAGATTCCAGCAATAAGGGATCAGGCCCGCCACTGGCGATAGTCTTCGGCTTAGAGGCTCCGAGCAGCTCACGAGGGGTTTTCAAGGATCATCCACTCGGAAGCGGAGATGCGTATCTGTGAGGAGGGTTCGCTCCCCTGTAGGTGTACCAAAGAGTGCCTCAACTTTTCCATATAAAATTCATTTCTGAATAGCTAACCACCAACGGCCCGATTGGGCGATGGACTCCGTCAACTGTACAGCAAGTGTGGAGAAGGAAAGCGTGATCGCAATATGTGCTCTTTATTTCCCCGTCATGCACCTGTGCCCAGCCTTTCCGTGTAAGCCAGATCAAGAAGAATACCCCTTGCATAGAGATTTACGAGGGATTTGCGTAGAGGCGAACTGCGCGTGGGCGTGTTGTGTGTTAGTAATTGTGAAAGCTCGCAAGTCATGAACTGTAAGAGCAATCTGCGAAGGCGAAGATGGCATACAATTGGAGGAAAGATACATCAATGTTTAGTTTCATTAATTAGTAAGAGTGGTTTGAGTAGAAGTTGACAATCCAAGGCGGCAAACGAAGAATTGCCGACATGTCAGTGCTGCCATTGGACACCCTGATTGTAGACTCCACAGATTAGAGCTCTCAAGGCAATGCATGATTCGCCTCGTGTACCCAAATGCTACTCTAGACGAGCGGGGTGTACGGTTGATCTGGAACCAGGCAACGTTTTGGAGATGCCATACAAGAAGTCACTACAGATGGTAAGCTTTCGCTAATGAGCTTGTTAGAGCGCGACCCGCATCTTGGTATAAGACGTCACATTAAGATCCTCGTAATCGGAAGTCAGTGGCTATCTGAAACGGGATCTATAAAATTAGAGTGATATACCGCGTGTATAGTGAGCCGATTATTTCAGAGCACTTATTAACCGGCATGATAGCCCAGATCAACGGAACACTCGTTTGCTCATTTGTGAAGCTCCTAATGTAACTCGCTCGTCCGAGCCGGCTAAAAGCCGTCAACTCTCGGCTGCCGGCGACAGCTCTCGGCACGGAGCAAGAGACGTCGACAACCCTAAACGGGATAGAGAAAAGTATATCAAATTACTTGCTCGACACGAGTAGATAGCTCTGTACGCAAAAGGGAATTGGCTTTCACAACCGCCTCTCACGTGAGGTCCTTCAAATTTGTTGTGGTATTTATCTTCCGTCTCACGGAATTGTGCCGGTGGTGATACTATTCAGAAAGGTTTGTTTGCGTTGAACGGATATCGTTGCCGAGGAAGTGCTTGACATGTACGATCATAGAGGTTGTCTCCACCTTGAACCATTACCGCGTGTGAAAATTCTCCGAAACTTCTTTTTCTGTTACAAATTTGACTTGGCAGGTCCACGGAGGGTCTCCAGTTTGAAGCAAGCCAAGTCCCTGCCGCCCCTTGGCCGATGAAGATCTTCTTTCTTTCCTGGTTCCTGCTTTTCTCGAGCAGCACTAGCAAATAAGCGTCTTGGCTAGGAAAGCTTGTGAATAATCACCAAAGCTTAGTTTGACTTGAGAGACAAGCTAGAGATCAAATGCGTCCGCTTTGACTATCAACATTTCTGAATCTGCTGTTATATGCGACAAAGTCACGGATCTAGTACAAGAACAAGGATTTCAGATCTTGTCTGCTGTAACTTTTTCCGAAACGCTTACTCTTTATGTAGAAATAGGTTTTATTAACTGGTCCTGTTGATCTACATCGTGTTCATAGCTCGTGACGTTGACAAGTATTCAATTTACAACTTGAACAAGCTTAACCCAAACACGTGTTCCTTCAGCGGGAAGCGGCACTTTGTTTCCCTGCCGTTCAGTCCCTAATTGCCCTCCATCCGAAGTTACATGATAATACGCCGCGGTTTTGTTGCTGCTGCTGATTGATTCGGATGATACCCAGACAACAGTTGCATTGACCACCGGGCCATGCTCAAGCTGGGCCATATTCAATGAGACAACTTTGGTTCTGAGGTCATAAGTGAAGCTCTCAATAATTCCCGCGTCAATCCTTATCTCAATGCCGAGCGGTCCTATAAAGACCTTCTGGCGTACCGGGTCACGAGTTGCAACTGTGGCCACATCATTGATTATATCGAGATTACCACCAAATGCTACAAGCCCGACATCCCCGTCATCAGAGAGATATGTGCCCGACCCAAGTGTTAGTCCTACGAAGTTAGGGCCGTAGTCGCCGCTATATCCGTCCCAAAAGAGGTGTTCTGGCCATGCATCTGGGATATATCCCGTCAGCTATCTTCAATGGAGTTCATGCGAATTTTATCCAGCTCTCATTTTCCAGACCTGGAAGGAAGTAGATGACTTACGCATTGCACACGCAGCAAAGCCGTCTTGGTTGATATTGCTAAGGGGGCCGCTTGTTCCTCCATAACCAACCCGAAGAAGATATGAGTCCGAAGTATTGTCGCGAAACGAAGACAGCATAACTAGGGCATTGAGCCCGGAACCATAATGATGAATCTGACGCTCCACTGTTTTGAGCTTACCAGTGACACTGATCAATTAGCATACGTTAACAAGCGGTGGAGGAGCTCTTTACCTACCTGAAATCCCAATAACGACGTGCATTACCATTGTATGCCCAGTGAGGGACGGTTGGCATATAACCCAACACACTATTTCTGGTGGTGTCACGCATACCGTTTTCTCCGAAATATCTGATAAGTGCGTCAGGGCTGACCTTTAGTTGTGGTGACTTATCTTACCTGGCCCAGTAGTAAACCCCTTCTTGTCCAGTTGAATCCCAAGCCTGTTCGCTTCCAAACGGATACGGTTGTGTTAGCCACACATCAACGCGTGTTCTCATTGCTTTTGTTAATTCGTCTGCCGCTTCTGTTTTGTTCTCCCTTACAAGATCGGCTAGAATTTCCCCGAATACTGTTTCCCCCATGAGGCCCTTATTACTGTAAGCAATGTCGGATTGCATTCCTCGAATAATGGTCTTGAATGCAAGATCAATGTACCAGTCTGAATCATGGACTTTGAGGAGTCCAGGATATGCTCTTCCTACACGATACAGAGCCCAATATGCTGCCGCTGGCCAAATGTAGTTATAAGCACGGTTAATTTCGTAAGCGTAATCTTTGTCCATTCCCGTGTTCCACTTGAAGCTTGTGCTATAGTTGTATCCAGGTACTTCTGCTGGCTCATAGAAGAAAAGGCCTCTCTTCACACCGAGATTATCCTTATCCTGTACGCGGTTGAACAGCACCTCGTCAACGAAGGTCTCAAGCTTGTTAATTTCATCTTCATGAGGTTGAAACGTTTGCTTAATGGCGAGGGCAACGTATGCACCAGAACCGCCCTCATCGCTCAGGCCAGCTACCATGATCTGGGAGTCTTGCTCGACAATGGCATTAACCTCATTGTCATAAGCCATAATAGATGGGGCACGGCCAAATGGGTCAGAAGTGTCGTTGAACCAATGTTTGGTGGATATGAACCGACCAAGATCATTGACAGCGGAGGATGAAGACTTGGTTACATAATAATGTACAGTCTGCACCTTGCTGTCTTCGTATACTATGGTCAACCGCACTCGTCCCCATGCGTTCGGAGATGGCTGAACAATATATGTCTTGTTGTCCTGCTCAATGAATTCTATAGCTCCTGAGGGATCCACAGAAATGGAGGCAACTGCCGCCGAGTGCTGAAGGAAAAGCTTCCCGGTCACGTCTCGGGGAATAATGTATCCTGGTATGCCAATGGCTGTTGGAGAACTCAGCTTCCGAAGTGTATGATCAATAGATCGAATTCCATCCCTAACCACTGTAAATCTGACACCGTATTCGCGCGATTGACCTGGTCTTATAACTACCGAAGTCGCTGGGTTCCACGGATTGACTCCTTCCCATTCGTTCTGGGCATAGGCTTTGCTGTGAATTTGCCATTCGAAAAATCCTTCGAAAGCATTGCTTTGGATTGAGGTATCGCCATGATGCTCCTCTTCCAGATATCGATATGCCTCCAATGGAGTATTGCCCAGAGGTGTCACCACAAGTGCTGGGCCAATCCCGCTTATCGGAGTGACACGAAGATGGCCGGCGTCTAAACCTATGTATGGGTCCATGAAGGAACACTTTTGATACATGTTCGAAGCGTTCCTTTTCGTGAATATATTATTCACAGCCGCTGGAATACCCAGACTGCCCAACTCAATACTTTTGTTCCCAGTGTTCTTAATTGTGAATTTCAGCCCAAGATCGCCAGATACGTCGATCCATTCTCTCACAACTTGAAGAGGACCGTCTGTCAGATTTGTCAAGGTTGGCGAAAGCTCGTACGCTGCTAAAGCGCTTGTATTGATTCGATTCACAGGCACTCTTCGAAAGGCTGAATCACTGCCGGTCCAACCCTTGGAACAAGTCTCTCGATATCGAATTGTGATGTCCCCCCATTCGTAAGTAGTATTCTGCAGTCTTTTTCCAGCCAACATGAAGTCATAAGGGAGAAAATCAAAGTCAACACCAGTTGGTTGTAGTGAGACTAAGGTTCCTGAATCCTTAATGATCTTCGCCTGCCAATTGCTAGTCGTGAGGTTGAGGAGGCCATTTTTGAAACCCACATCATCCTGACAAGAGGCGAATGGCAGCGTAAGCAATAGAAGTCCTAAGAGTTGCAGCATGATCATCTCAACTGAAATCTGGTGTTGCCTAGAATTCCTAACAGCCGGCATCATGAGTGACATAGAATATCTTTGGACTGATAATTTGACATCAACTTCTTATAGCCGTGGTGCTTCAAGCCTTAGGGTTGATCTCCTCCGAAAAAATTGAGACTGGTCCAGGGAATGCATTCCCGGTTC